AGCTTGGAAGAAACTGTGCACCGGCTTTCTTAAAGGAAAATTGTGATGGTAAAGAAACCGATATCTTGAAGGACTAATTAGAAAGTGTAAATATAAATTATGTTGTGTAGTGTGGCTGAAATATATGGATCTCTAATTAACTGTGCTTAACGGTCACGACTAAAAGAACACCACACTTTTCGTGTAATCGAAATAATCGTGCTTGGTCGATGTCGGTCCACTTACGTGTGTTTCCTCTCATTCTTAGGATCTTTGACCTGCGGGCAACATAAACTCAAAGAGACTCTAAAGCTTTAGGTTCTTACACATTTGTCGTATTGTTAAGAAAAAAATAACATCCGATCGATATTTTCCCGTGTTTACGTTTCTCAGCTGTTAGGTTTATGTAATTTAGACATCTGAACATTTTGAAATGTTCTTCCCTTTAATCATATTATGTCAACACAACCATAGCAGTGAAATCTGGATTTTATTACAGATTTTCAAATGTTCACATTCATCTCTGCATGGTTAAGAAAAATACTTAAAACTGTTAAATTGTTTTGAATATTTTTTACTTTTTCTAAATAATTGGATATAGTTGTGTTCCTAATAATTGAAAACGAAAATCTAGTTCAAATTCTTGAAAAGTTGAAGACATCTTTTCCTTGTAAAGTTCCACACTTTTAAAATTGATTTGAATTTAATATTTCCTAAGCAATTGTATAAGGCTTATAACAAAGTAAGGAGGGTGTATTCAATTTAGATTTTTAAGGACGTTTTAAAACTTTTAAATTTGATGACTTTTGTGGATTTTGTAGAACTTTCACGACTTTGGTGGACTTTTTGAGACTTTCAGAGAATTTTCATTAATGACTTTTTAAGTCTTTCATAATGGACTTTTTAAAACTTATTGAAACTTTTATATACTTGCAGTTATAATATTATTTGAATAAAATATTAATAAACGTAACATAATAACTAATATAAACAAGAATAAATGAAAAAAAAAGATGTATATATTAATCCTCTAAAAATTTATGAATAAACTCATTTTTATGCGAAATGAGTTATTCACGAACAAATTGTTTAGGATTTTAGGTTTATTAAATGAGTAAATCGATCCGAGCTACAACGAGCCGAATCGAGCAGGGTCTTATATTTGTTTGTTAAAAGAGTACAAACTCAAATATGTGTTAGACATTTCTGCTATAACAACACTTATAATCAATCCAAATTAAGATATATTTACTTAATTATTTGATTTTATTATTTATATTTTCCTGCATAATTTTGTTATATTAGAAAAATATTATTAGGTTATATTTTTACAAGATACAAACATTGCCGAAAAACAGTAATTGTATCTAATAAAATTATCAATAATATTCAAAACATTTCAATATTAACAAATAAACTATTTGAA